TCAGACTCTCGATCTTCCCCATCTCATTGCTGTCCGCCATCTTCCCTTACCCCGCTAGAGACGGCCGCACTAGTCCGACCTCCCTCTCCTTCCTTCTCGAAAACCTGTTGCGTTATAAAAAAGCCTTTCCCTTCGCGCACCGCTTACCCTTCTCCGATTATACCCTAGTGACCGGCCAAGCCTTTGATTGACGCACTTCTATTGCCAGATGAGAGAAATCGCCAACTCAAAAGAAACCTCGCAACCTAGTAACCCTAGTTATGAACCGCTCCGCCTTGAAATAAGCAAAATAAATTTTAAAGAACCAAAAATAAATTATAAATTTAAATTTCGAAATAAAAAAATAAAAAATTGAAGAGTTAAAAATTCGGATTTATTTTTAAGTAAAAATATTAACTCTTTAATTTTAAATTTTAAAATTATTATGTTTCCCTTGTAAATGAAGCACTTTAAATTCATAAATACTCGCTCCGTCCCGAAAAGGTTAACCAAATTAATTTTTCTTGGTCAATGATAATCAACATTGAACAATGATACTCCTCCATCCCTTAAATCTTTGGCAACTTTCCTTTTTTGAATGTCTCATTAACTTTGTCACTGTTTCTTTTAAGTAAATAATTTGTGGTTCCAGTTAATTCTCTCTCATCTGCACAAATTTCGATCAGTCAATTTTTAATTTATTAGTCTCCATGCCGATCAAACATAACCAAGTTTTAAGGGATGGAGAGAGTATTTTTTTAATACGAAATTTTTTTGAATATGAAAATTATATCAAAATGTTCTTTATCCAAAATATTTTCTTACAAGTATAAATTTTATAAAAATTAAAATCATTGTCCAAAGTTTGTCATTATTGCCCAAGAAAAGTCAATATGACGAACCTTTTTGGAACGAGGGTAGTATTAATTTTAAGGGGGTGTCCCGAGTATGGATTCTAGAGGATTTTAATGGAGTTTGGAATTCTTTCAGAATTCAGGCGTCCCCGATTTGGATTTCTATGAAATCCATGAAAATAAGAGTATTCTCAAACATTATATGAATTTCTATTGTTACTTATTTAGATGGATTTTATTGAATTTTTACATACAAAAACATTTCACCACAAATCTTGTAGAATCTCTCAGATTTCAACATTCATGATCTTTTAAAATCCATTCAAATCCTAATTGGGGACACCCCCTAACCTTGTTTTGGATTTTCAAACTCATTGATACATTTTTTTAAATAGTTTTTTTTGTTTAAATTTAAGGTGTCACGTAATAGTCACTTTCCCCAAATGTATTTATTTCTTATGATGTGATCTGAATTTTTATGATTTGATCTGAAATTTTTTATTTAAATCAGAAAGTACTAGTAAGTACTACGAAGTAGTTCAAACTTCAAACTTGCAATTTAAGGAGGCATGCAATAGTGACTTTCCCGAAATTTAACGTGCTTCCTTTTCATTTCATTTTAATACTCCGGATCACAAAGATACATATCAAATTGGATCAGAAGATTAGATCAGAAAAGTTCTAATAGGATCTTAAATATTCAAATAAAAAACATCCAGATTGGGTGAAGAGAACAACTTCTAACTTTCTAAGACATGCAAATTATCCCATATTTGAGTGAAAAAAATACTAATACTACTCATATTTTTAAACAGACATTATTTTTACTCATATTTCTAGAATTTTCCCTTACTAAAATTAGTCATGGACCCGGGTCCGGGTCGGGCCTAGGCTCGGCCAGGCTTTTGATATTTGGGTTGAAGGCCCGGGACCGGCCCGGGTTAGCACCGGGTCAGGGTCAGGGGGGTCCAAGTTTTTTTTTTTTTGCTTTTCTAATTAAGCCCCGACCCCCCTACCCCTCATCCCCAACCCCCCCCCCCCCCAAAAAAAAAAAAAAACACCTAGCCCAACTCAGGAAAAAGCCCAAAAAATGAAATAGATAGATAGATAGATAGATAGATAGATAGATAGATAGATAGATAGATAGATAGATAGATAGATAGATAGATAGATAGATAGATAGATAGATAGATAGATAGATAGATAGATAGATAGATAGATAGATAGATAGATAGATAGATAGATAGATAGATAGATAGATAGATAGATAGATAGATAGATAGATAGATAGATAGATAGATAGATAGATAGATAGATAGATAGATAGATAGATAGATAGATAGATAGATAGATAGATAGATAGATAGATAGATAGATAGATAGATAGATAGATAGATAGATAGATAGATAGATAGATAGATAGATAGATAGATAGATAGATAGATAGATAGATAGATAGATAGATAGATAGATAGATAGATAGATAGATAGATAGATAGATAGATAGATAGATAGATAGATAGATAGATAGATAGATAGATAGATAGATAGATAGATAGATAGATAGATAGATAGATAGATAGATAGATAGATAGATAGATAGATAGATAGATAGATAGATAGATAGATAGATAGATAGATAGATAGATAGATAGATAGATAGATAGATAGATAGATAGATAGATAGATAGATAGATAGATAGATAGATAGATAGATAGATAGATAGATAGATAGATAGATAGATAGATAGATAGATAGATAGATAGATAGATAGATAGATAGATAGATAGATAGATAGATAGATAGATAGATAGATAGATAGATAGATAGATAGATAGATAGATAGATAGATAGATAGATAGATAGATAGATAGATAGATAGATAGATAGATAGATAGATAGATAGATAGATAGATAGATAGATAGATAGATAGATAGATAGATAGATAGATAGATAGATAGATAGATAGATAGATAGATAGATAGATAGATAGATAGATAGATAGATAGATAGATAGATAGATAGATAGATAGATAGATAGATAGATAGATAGATAGATAGATAGATAGATAGATAGATAGATAGATAGATAGATAGATAGATAGATAGATAGATAGATAGATAGATAGATAGATAGATAGATAGATAGATAGATAGATAGATAGATAGATAGATAGATAGATAGATAGATAGATAGATAGATAGATAGATAGATAGATAGATAGATAGATAGATAGATAGATAGATAGATAGATAGATAGATAGATAGATAGATAGATAGATAGATAGATAGATAGATAGATAGATAGATAGATAGATAGATAGATAGATAGATAGATAGATAGATAGATAGATAGATAGATAGATAGATAGATAGATAGATAGATAGATAGATAGATAGATAGATAGATAGATAGATAGATAGATAGATAGATAGATAGATAGATAGATAGATAGATAGATAGATAGATAGATAGATAGATAGATAGATAGATAGATAGATAGATAGATAGATAGATAGATAGATAGATAGATAGATAGATAGATAGATAGATAGATAGATAGATAGATAGATAGATAGATAGATAGATAGATAGATAGATAGATAGATAGATAGATAGATAGATAGATAGATAGATAGATAGATAGATAGATAGATAGATAGATAGATAGATAGATAGATAGATAGATAGATAGATAGATAGATAGATAGATAGATAGATAGATAGATAGATAGATAGATAGATAGATAGATAGATAGATAGATAGATAGATAGATAGATAGATAGATAGATAGATAGATAGATAGATAGATAGATAGATAGATAGATAGATAGATAGATAGATAGATAGATAGATAGATAGATAGATAGATAGATAGATAGATAGATATAGGGATGGACTGGGCCGGGCCGAACCGGCCCGGAACCGGACCGGCCCGCTACTGTGCGGGCCCGAACCGGACCGGGCCCGGTTGGCCGGTTCCGGGCTTTTAGCCCGTTTTGGCGGGTCGGGCGGGCCGGTTCCGGGCCCTGTTTTTGTTGAACCGGCCCGGGCGGTTCGGGCCGGGCCCGGTTCATTTTTTTTTTTTTTTTTTGGTTTTTTCAATTTTTTTTCTTTTCCTAGGGTAGGGCTGGGTGTTTTAGGGAGGTTTGGGGCGTGGGGGTGAGGGGGGGGGGGGGGTAGGGAGATAACAAGAAAGTCAAAAAAAAAAAAAAAAAAAAAAACATTGAACCGGGCCCGGCCCGGCCCGGCCCGGTTAGGCCCGGACCCGGTATCAACCCGGGCCGGTTCCGGGCCCATGTAACCCGAAAAAAAGCCCGCCCGGGCCCGGCCCGGAACCGGAACCGGCCCGGCCCGGGTCCACCCCTAGATAGATAGATAGATAGATAGATAGATAGATAGATAGATAGATAGATAGATAGATAGATAGATAGATAGATAGATAGATAGATAGATAGATAGATAGATAGATAGATAGATAGATAGATAGATAGATAGATAGATAGATAGATAGATAGATAGATAGATAGATAGATAGATAGATAGATAGATAGATAGATAGATAGATAGATAGATAGATAGATAGATAGATAGATAGATAGATAGATAGATAGATAGATAGATAGATAGATAGATAGATAGATAGATAGATAGATAGATAGATAGATAGATAGATAGATAGATAGATAGATAGATAGATAGATAGATAGATAGATAGATAGATAGATAGATAGATAGATAGATAGATAGATAGATAGATAGATAGATAGATAGATAGATAGATAGATAGATAGATAGATAGATAGATAGATAGATAGATAGATAGATAGATAGATAGATAGATAGATAGATAGATAGATAGATAGATAGATAGATAGATAGATAGATAGATAGATAGATAGATAGATAGATAGATAGATAGATAGATAGATAGATAAAGACCCGAACCGGGCCCGGGACCGGCCGGGCCGGTTCCAAAGAGTAGGTTGAATCGGGACCGCCCCGCCCTAACCCCGGGACCGGGCGTAGGCCCGGAACCATAACCGGTTCACCGGGCCGGGCTCGCACAGTAGCGGGCCGGGCCGATTCCCGGGCCGGGTGGCCCGACCCGAGCCCAAGACTAACTTAAATCATCAAGTTCAACAAGTAAATTAACTAAGACCTGGAGATAAGTGTCCAGATTTATGCTTCATGACCCTTGGGGAACAGTTCATAACTGAACTGGATATTTTAAAAGGACATTCCAATGTCATTCACATTAACATTTCCAGCACCCTGGGAACACTTTTTGAGAATCTGCATCTTACAGAAGATTACTACTGGCCTACTGACCATGGCCTGAAAATACTAATGTCCACTCTTAGGCCAGAAACACTTGCTTGACAAGAGAGAAACTAACAAGTGTCTGGCATCAACTTCACAGCAAAAAACTCCTATTCCTAGTCAGTTATGAACTTTGTCTTCATTGAGGTCAGCGGGAACTTTGTCCTCTTGATGATCCAAATCAAGAGCAGGCTGAGCAGCATCAGAATGTGCATGTGTGCGGTCCTGCATATATAAATGATTCACATTTCACAGTAATGAGACACCCAAACATGATTGATAGATGCTGAAAATCATCAAGGTAGGAGCAACCAAGGGATGTATATCAAGTAGCTTAGCACCTTCAGCATTCGAGCAATATTACAGGTCACTAAGAAGAACTCTAGTTGTGTGTTCTTGATATATTCGGAGCTTAGGCATTTCAATTAGATACTTGTCTTGTATTAAAACGAACACTTATAGTGTATCCCAATGAATCCAATCTATTGGGTTGGTACTCTAAGAGCAAAAAAGGCCGAACAAATAGGATATACATACCTATACCCCATCACTTAATACACTACACCTGCTCCTATTCCATCCTAAATTTTAAGTTGGGTGATCGCAGTGGTTTTTGTGGATGCAGATTTCCTCAAGGGTCAATTATCCACATCTAGAATCTAACAGATTATTAAAAAAAAGTTAGATTGTTCCTAATTAACTATACCTAGATATTTAGATAAAATGTTCAACAACTATGGAGCATTCATAGGTACTATATCCATTCCAAAAAAGAGTCCTGTTTGACTATTGTACGACTATTTAATTCTGATAAGGTAAAACTGCCATAAATCATCAATGAGCCTTGTATTGTTTAAATGTATTTACTGGTTTAGCTAAATACAGAGCATATATTATGCACCTTGTCTATAACTATTGTTTTTTGGAATTCTTCTGACATATATTACATGAAAAATTAGCTTCTTTAGATCAGGCGAGATCGTTTTTCTTTTTGGGACAATAAACAATGTTTGAAACAAGACTACTGTTTTGGTATGGAAGGATATAGTCCAACTAGACAAGACTTGCGACAAAGTGTAAGTAAGAAGTGTGGTGCAAGAGAAAGGGACAAACCACACAAACATACAAACAAAAGAGCACCTTGCTTTCTCACCTGGCCATTTGGGGAGCCCTTCGTATTAGCAGATTCAACATCTTGAATGCTACAGCTGAGAATATCAATATGCTTGCTATTGTCACCCTTGGCCAATGCATTGATCTATCAAAACAATTCAATATAAAAATCCAATAAACTTCCTCCGTTCTTTTTTAGTTGCACCTTTCCAGATTTCACATTTGCTAACGCACAGGTTCGACCATTCATATATTTTATTCTTTATTAGTAATAAAATTCAGATTTTGAAAATTTAAAATGAGAAGAAATTAACAAAATCATTCAAAATTTTAATCTAAAATGAACAACATTTTCCAAATACATTAATAAATAAAATGTGGTCAAAGTAGAGCATGTGAGTAGTGTAAAATCCACCAATGTTGCAACTAAAAAAGAATAGAAATTGAAACTGGTACGAACAGAAATTGCTAGCCTGTAATACCTCAGATTGACCACCACTTTTGTTCTCATTTCCAGATACTTTGCCAGTATTATCATTCGCAATGTCCGCTGTACTGCCAGAGAGGTCCAAGCCATCTTTACTATAGTTGTCAATGTTGCCCTGGAATATGACACATCAGTTACTACTTGTAAGTTGTAACTAAAAACTACATGATTCAATCCCACCGCACATAATCCCTGTTATCAATATGCGTGTTCTTTAATCGTGGTCATGACAAATGGCATGGTGGATTTTGAGCCAAAATCCATTTGAAATATATGAAAAATGGCAGTCTGTCAATGCCAGAGCCATATCGCTGAATATTGGTCATCTGTAATTAGCAATATGGCTTATTGAACACATAAAGTGAAAAATATAAAATAAAAAGAACTAAGATTACAGAGAAAATGGAATTATTATGATTATGCCTCAAGCCCAATAAGACTTATTTGTTTAGAAGGCCCAATGAGGTCTCTGACCCAACATTTCCTAGAATCCTAGCTGATCAGGCATATATAACATTTGGCGGGGCTTAAGTGCTTAACCAAGACATTTTTCTTTGAGACAACTAGACAAGGACCCCTTCCCTTCTTCCTCAATCCTCATCATACCTTTCCTAAAAGAACTTCACTATTGTCTACAAAAAAGAGCTCTCTAGTGTATATGTACTATAACAACAATATAGTGATACCCTTAGCTTGACACCATCTAAAAAGACCACTGTTTTTTTTAATTTGAGGTTTCTTTGTAAAAACCATCTGTTTATTTATTATCCTTATTTATCCTAAATAATTTTCTATGGCTGCGTAACCTGAGTTACACCATTAAATTTAAAAGAGCACTATGCTTTTGTTCCTTAAATTGGGATAATTACAGTCAAGCGTTGAAAATACTGTCAATTATGGCAATATAATGCCATATTTAAAGCCTGGTAATGCCCAAATATGGCAATAATTTTCAAGATGACAGTAATGTACTCCTATGTTGGGGAAAAACACAATACTCTTATTTTGGAACTTTGTGTTATTTTTAGTTTTTACTCATTTTCGGGGATTTTCCCTAAATTTAAATATTAACTAAACTTAGAGGGTGGAGACCCTACACCATTATGGCATTATCTAGTAGAACTCTATTGCTAGCAGAAGGAACCTGAGAGTTTACACAACCCATGATGGCAATTGCAAGATTCACACTAACAGGAACATCTGAATAGATTACAAGATTTATGACATTCTCCATGTGTATAGTGCAACTGTAATTTGTATCTTAAACTGTATATATGAGATGCAGTACAAAGCATTTTCATAATGCTATTTAGCGTGTACAAATAACTCCGTGACCTGTCATTCTCTAAATACTTGACAGTACTAGTTTCAGCTTGTTAATGGGTTGAACATACATTGATTCATAGTACTAGACTACTAGCCCATGAAAGTTTCAGCTTGGTACTAGGTTGAAGATTTAATTGATTCATAGCATTAGCCCATGAATCATAATGAGCGACAAAATCAATTCAAAATTAGAGAACAATGTGGTAAGACTATTACTATATCAGCTACTTGAAGAAGAACAAGTTACCGGAGCCTCAGCAGATTTATTTGAAGAGTGAATGAGCTTATTGATGTCCCACCCAAGCGCCTTACAAATAGACTCCGCTAAAGCTTGATGAGCCTTCCTCTTTGTGGTCTTTGCTATGGAAAGACAATGATGAACTAAAGCCGCACAGCCCTTGAACCTCTTCCAACCTTTTTCCCGCACAGCAAAACAGACCAGGCATCTGAACTCTCCACCAGCACAGTTCTTCTCGTAATAATCCATCAAAACCCTGTCCTCCTCAAACAGTTTCACAAAAAAATCGAACCTTTTGCGCTCTTTTTCCTCTATCACCTCATCGATGTCACCGTTCTCGTACTTGATTGCGTCCATGTATTCATCGTATTCCTCGTCGTAATCGTCGTCGTCGGCAACATCTGTATTGTTAAGGAATTCAATCACGACTTCCAATGCAGCTTGTTGAGCCTGGTCATCAGCCAACCGCGCCTGCTCTTCGGGGGTTAGCACACGCGGTTCAGACTTTGGTGGGAACCACACGCTGGGCCAACCGGACTCGTTCATCGGAGGCAGTTTCGGACTGGGAATGCTTGGCCATTTTACGCCGGAATCTGGAGCAAGCTCGGGAGTTGCAGGCTCTCTTTCGCCCGATTGTGTTTGGTGGAGGACTATCGGGTCCGGGTCATTTCCTGGAGCCATAGTTGATCAGTAGGTAGTGAGTGAGGTTACCGAAGAAAGAGAGCGAGAAAGGTGTGAAGTTTTGAAAACCTAAAGAATGACTCCGTGAGACGGGCGGCAGCCTGACACGTACTGGCGGTCTGGACCGGGTGAAGACGATCTCTAATTTGACGAAATTATCCCAGTCTACAAATTATATTCCGAAATTAGGAGTAATTAGGATAATTTTTTACTCAAATTTGTTGATCTCATCTAGTCTGGTCTCATTTGAATTGATCTAAATTTTGATCTGATAAATGTCTGGTCTCTATATTTTATAACTATGGAGATGTGATTTGACTTGATATGATCTGGTGTGGAACTAAGTCATTTAACTTTTATATTATAATTCAAATTAAAAGTATGACATTGATCAAAATAATGACAATAGAAGTAATTTTGTTTATAATAATTTATACTCAGTATTATACTTTGGTCATACTTTTATTAATAAATTTCATTTGAATCATACTTTTGAAAAAATCTCTTATACTTTGGGTATAAATTATTAACTTTACCTCTTTAATTTTGCATAATTTTTGACACTTTGAGCCTGTTTACTTATTTCTCTGTTTTTTATTTTTATTTTCCTTTTTCATTTTCAGATTTTCATATTCACAACGTGAAACACATGTTTTCCATATTTCCTTTATTTTCCGTTTCAATTTTTAAAATCATAATAAAGTAAGTATATACATTGAGAAACTGAATACGTAAACAACAACAATAACATTCAAGCCTTAGTCCCAAAAGATATTGGGGTCGGCTAACATGAATCGATACATAATATTAGGGGTGGGCAAAAGACCCGGTCCCGTTGGTCTGTTCCGGAATGTTCCGGTTCCGTCCCGAAATTGTCCCGTTATATTTGGGATACATTATTTTTGTCCCGTACCGGTCCCGAACCGTTTTAAAACAAAACGGGACCGGGACAAGTAAAATATATCCCGTTCCGTCCCGTTGTCCCGAATCCAAAATTGTACGTAGTACTTTGTAGTAGGCTAGTGAGTTTATTAACAACTCATTATGTAATCCAAATAATAATAGTTAATCTTTTTTCACAACCCAAATACATATGATTATTAAATACTAGTTGATTAATAATATAACACCTGAAAAAACTCTAAACTACCTACTATCACATACTATGAACTATCATCTATCTACAAAAGAAAAGAAATTGATTTTACTCTCAAAGTATTCTTTTATCATTTTATTATAGATTTCTTGATAGATTTTTGTGATATAGTTTTTTCTGCTGCAACTTTTGTTTCATGCAGCTAATCTAGTAAGTTGCATTTTTTCTCACAATTTTCTATATTAGCTATAGCTTTTTTGTCATAGAGTTTTCTTGCGCTAGTTTTTTTGTTTTTTTTTTTTCAAATAGCTTTGTTTTGTTTTTGGATTGAAATTGTTTGACTACAATTTTTTGGGATGTCCCGAACCGTCCCGTTTTGTCCCGGTACCGGTTTAAACGGGACAACAAAGGGACAACGTCTTGTCCCGTCCCGTTCCGAACCGTTATTGTAAAACGGGTTCGGGACCGGGACAACCCAATTCCCGTTCCGTCCCGGACCGTGCCCACCCCTACATAATATCACCAACAAATTGAAAAGAAAGAAAAAATAAATAAAAGATAAGCTATTTTTAAAAAGATAATATAAAAAGAGTTGAATATACCCAAAAAATGATAAAATAAAAAGGATAAAAATAATGTTTATATATATAAGGATAAAAAGATAAAAACATAAGAAGAAAAGATGAGGGGAAGAGATAATACGAGATCACTCCTCCACACGAATAATTGCCCTCCATTTTGCTCTCTCCAAAGTCATGCCCTCATCGAACCCAAGAAGAAACATATCACTTCGGAATCTCCTAACCCACGTCTGTTTGGGCCTTCCTCTCTTCTCTGCCACTTCTCCACACATCTCAACTCGCCTGACAGGTGCATCAACCGGTCTTCTACGCACATGACCAAACCACCGTAGGCGCGACTCCCGCATCTTGTCTTCAATAGGTGTTACTCCCACCCTTTGTCTTATTGTCTCATTCCTCACGTGGTCCTTCCTAGTATGCCCACACATCCAACACAGCATACACATCTCTGTCACACTCATCTTTTGAATGTGACATTGTTTCACCGTCCAACACTCTACGCCATATAGTAATGCAGGCCTAATTGATGTCCTATAAAATTTACCCTTCAGTTTAGTCGGCATACCTCTATCACATAGAAATCCTGACGCACCCTTCCACTTCATCCACTCTGTTCTGATTTTATGGGATACATCTCCATTTAACTCACCGTCCTTCTGAATTATGGAACCCAAGTAACAGAACATATCACTGACCGATATCTCCTTAGCATCTAGAGTAATTCCGCTATTACCACTGCTTCTAACCCCACCAAACCTGCACTCCATGAACTCTGTCTTGATTCGACTTAGTCTGAAACCCTTGTTCTCCAATGTTTGTCACCATACTTCCAACTTTGCTTTAAGACCTGATTGCGTCTCATCAATCAATACAATATCGTCGACAAACATCATGCACCACGATATTTCATCTTGAATTAACTTCGTAAGCTCATCCATGACTATGACAAATAATAAAGGACTCAGGGCCGATCCTTGGTGCACTCTGATAGTAATAGGGAACTCTGCAGTCCTCCCTACACTAGTACGGACACTTGTAGTACAATCCTCATACATATCCATGATGATGTTGATATACTTGCGTGATATGCCTTTTCTAGTTAAGGCCCACCAATGAATTTCTCGAGGTACTCTATCATAAGCCTTTTCTAAGTCAATGAACACCAAATGCATGTCCTTGTGAGCGTTTCTATACTTCTCAATGAGTTGCCGAACAAGGTGAATGGCCTCAATTGTTGAGCGACCAGGCATAAAACCGAATTGATTCTCTAAAATCGTCACAGTTCTTTGAAGTCTTTGCTTAATCACTCGCTCCCAAAGTTTCATGGTGTGACTCATAAGCTTTATCCCTTGATAGTTGGCACATTCTTGTACATCACCTTTATTCTTGAATAAGCGGATAAGAGTATTCTTCCTCTAACTCATTAGCATCTTGTTGTTTCTCCAAATCATGTTGAAGAAACTTGTTAACCACTAGACGCCTCTCTCTCTCCCAAACTTTTCCAAGCATCGATTGGTATGCCATCAGGACCCACTGTTTTCTTCCGCCCCATCTTCCTCAGAGCCTCTTTAACTTCCGTTGTTTGGGTCCTTCTCACAAAATCACGATTTACCATACAATTTGGTATGTCAAATCACCGATATCTTGCGCTTTGTTCCCGTTGAATAGTGTATCAAAGTATGACCTTCACCTCTCTTTTATCTCCCTGTCCTCCATTAGTACCCTTTGATTGTCATCTTTCACACACTTAACTTTTCCGATATCTTGAATCCTACGGTCACGAAGACGAGCAAGTCTATAAATATCTTTTCTCCTTCCTTAGAGTCTAATTTTGCATATAATTCCTTGTTCACTTTTCCTCTTGCTTCTTTTACAGCTTTCTTTGCTCTTCTTCTAGCCTCCTTGTATTCCTCTATGTTCTCGTCGCTCCATCTTTTGCCCAATTTCTTATAGCATTCTCTTTTGATCCATATTGCTTGTTTCACCTCATCATTCTACCAATATGTATCCTTTTTTTGGTGATAAACATCTTTTAGATTCTCCAAGTATCTCTTTCGCCACTTTGTTAATGGTGGACTCCATTGATAACCACACATCATCCACATGTGCGTCATTATCAATGGATTATACATCTTCCTCCAACATTTTCTGTGAAAAAGTTTGTTGGAGATTCCCCTCGAGCCTCCACCACTTTACGTAAAAATGAAAAACATTACCTAACACCATTTTTTATCATAATTACCTAACCCCATTAAAAAATTAATATGTGTGTATAATTCAAAGTAAATTACTCATAATTAGAAACATTTGAAATAATACAAAACAATTACATGAATGATCATCCACGAACAAAATTTAATAAGTGACATTTTTTAATAAGTGGCTACATTGATACGGGCCTAGTCCATACTAGGCCCATACCATTGCCATAAGCCCAAGTATGGAACTCACTCCTAAAAGACCAGCCTTGCTTATAAGCCACCGACAAAGCCTATACTTGACCGGTGTGGGATCGTTACATATATGTTCTTGAAAAACAAATACACAACACTGCAAATACTTCTTTTCTGAAGCCACATGTTTTTTCATGATCTATAGATTAGAGTTAGTATTAGAAAATTCTTTATTTTGGGCAAAGATTATGATACATAAAAGTAAGTTATTAAACACTAAAAACATGAAAATCGATTCTCGTAATTTAACAAATAAAGTATATTATTCAATATACATTGTTGCATAATTATTCTCGACACAATATGCAGTTTAAAAAAAGTTACCCCAATCAAATTCGGAGTGTGAAACAAATACAAAACTTAGTGTAGTATTTCTTATTTCCATTTTGGAAAACACTAATAAGTGAGTTCTCCAACTTAAGAACAAAATCATAAACATGCCTTTATTTCTAAATTTTGGAGAATAAAACGGTAAACATATTTTCCAATTTTCCTTTATCATGTTTTCATGTTTTCTAAAAAGAAAAAAACATAAAATATTCCAGTTAGTAAATGACCCCTTTGTGTTTAGATGATTGTGACACTTTCAATAGAAGGTCATATAGTTGAACAATTCAAATATATTGACATTTAATAAAGAGCATATGCTATATTATACTACATACTTTTTTTCATTAAATCAAGGGGTAAATTGATTCAATTGTCTTTTCATGGAAAGACCAATTAGTGGGTTCTTTTCTTCGACTCCGATGACTATTTAACGTGCTTCTTGTGAAATAATGGGAAAGGATACCCAATAGGGTACCTGGCAGATATATTTATATTAGAAAGAGATACCAAAAATACAAAGTATTCCTAATTTAATACTAGGCTATTACACCCCCTCAAACTGTGCGGGAGATACAACGCGCAGGTTGTCTTTTAAAAAATGAAATTGCTGACTAGAGAGACTCTTAGTAAATATATCCGCCAGCTGAAGACTAGTAGGTACATATTTAACTACAAGATCACCATGAG